TTTTTTTGGGGGGGGGGGTTCCTTACTATAATTATAGCATAATGGGCCCCAAAAACCTATTCTGATTATGAAGGCCTTTATATTAAGCCTGGACTTTATCAGGCTTGGCATGTCTACGCCGCAATGTCCCGTAAGGAAAGTGGGCAATGTAAACGCCCTCCTGATTAGAATGAATACGGCTTCGGGGTGCATTACGGTGTGCATGTATAGCCGGGGACTATGAGAGGATACTATTGCCAATTATCTCAAGCCCCTACGTGAATGGCACCCTTCGTAGTCAAGCTTCCGAACCTTCAGGCGCAATGGCAGGCCTACTGCTTTATACGATGGTCTTCATCATTTGAACAAGGTTTTGGGGGGGCCATATGTTGCACTATGCCTACATGGGGACCACAAAGGGATACTGTTTCTATTGATGCAGACCTCTATTTTCGGTTTCGGGGCTTAGGGTTGACCAGCCTGGCGTGCGTGTCTTGGTGCCGCCGGTTGCGCGGAGCTTGATGTGGAGCGCGCCAATGCCCAACTCCTGGCACCCGCATGACTACTATAGGGGCCTTAAGGATTAGAAGAGGGTTCCTTTAAAGGGATCCTTAAAGGGTTCTATAAGGGATCTATGATAGGGTTCTATACTAGCGGCCTTACGAGTTAGAATAGGGTTTTAGGGCCCATTATAATTACAATAAGGATCCCCCAAAAGTATTATAGGTAATCCTTAAGGCCCCTACATTACCAGACATCAGCACGGATTTGGGGACGCACCGCATTCTTAACATGCGAATAAGATTCAACAAGGTTTGACAAGGTTCAATGAAGCTCTACCGGGCCGAGTTTGACAAACATGTTCGCGAATCCGCATTTCACTTCTAGCCAAAACCATGGAGGCTATAAGCCCTGCGGTTCTTAGGCTATACAGCTTCGCACTGTGAGGGTTGTGGCCGGTCAGGATTACGACTACGGGGTAGGTCGCTTGGGTTGCGGACCCAGAGCTCGGAGTTGCCTGCCAGATCCAGGATAAACTAAAGTCGACACACCTTGACTGGCGTGATAAAGGCAAAGGGAGACAGATGAGGACAACGAAAAAGAACAACTAACAGATAGAGACAAACCAATACAACTTAAGACACATGAGAGCAACACATGACAAAAAATAATTCAACAAGATTTCGTTTTGGAGCTAAACACTAAAGGCCCTGAGGATAAAAGCCCTGGGGTTTAAGACCGTCCCAAACCCTTCAGGAAAGACAACAACTAACGATGAGCACCAACTGTGGGAGCCACTGGTGACATCATGACTATGAACCTGCAGTAGTGCAGCGGTGGATAGAACTAGTGGCAGCAGTAGCACTAGAAATGGAACTGGCCTACGTGTAGAAATACTGTTGTTAGGTGTAAAACCCTAGTAGTATTGCTTTGGATTTGCGTTCGTACTATTCTAGTATCATTATTCGCAGTATTAATCCTACTACGATTAGTTCTGCAAACTGCTTCACAACAAAAACGATATGAAACCCTAAACCCTAAACCCTAAACCTTAAACCCTAAACCCTAAACCCTAAACCCTAAACCCTAAACTCTAAACCCTAGACCCTAGACCCTGTGTAGTATTCGAGTTCTGGTCCTTTTAGGCCTAGAGAAGCCGCCCTCGGAAGCGTCACTCCGGCGCCTTGCAGCGGGCGGCCACATCCTGTGCCGCCAGCATCGCTGCGTAAGGCGAGGACCTCGAAAACAGGGGCCGATATATATATATATATATGTATATATACATATATATAGATAGAGAGAGAGAAGGAGAGAGAGAGAGAGAGAGATAGACAGACAGACAGATAGATATATATATATATATATTTATTTATTTATTTATTTATTTACATACATGTAAACAGATAGATAGATATAGATCTACATATATATATATATAACAAAGCTTCCTAGAGCTGTATAATCTTGGAATAGGAACTTTACGAGGTGTGGAGGGTTTGGGTTTAGGGCCTGCTGTCTTTCTGTTTTCTTGACAGGTTTAAGGCAGGGACCGCATGCATGAGAAGCGAAGCCTACCCAGAGACCCCCAAACCCTTCAATTCAGGAATATGCGCAAACTGCAAAACATATACGCCATCCCTCTACGCATAGGCCCTAAAGTAGTTCCTTTTTGGGGTTCATATATAGAATCCTATAAGGTAACCCCAAAAAGGAACTACTATGGGGCCCATGGGTAGATGTCAGGGTACCTTGCTTAATCAAGGGCCCTTTGGGCTGGATGCTCAGGCTTCAAACCCTCACAGTCCAAGAACTAGAGGGCTTGAGTGTGTAGGGTTCGAGGTTCACAAGCCCAGAACGAACCCTGAGCCAAAAATGTGGGTTTAGGGTTTCGGATTAACTTGAAAATCACCTAACTCCGCCCACATCACGTGAACCTATGGACCCTGAAAACAATCAACACAACTCAAACTGTAATATCACGCCATAGGACCACAAGTGGTAACACAAGGGTAACAAGGGTAACAACACCAAAGAAGCACAACCGATCAGAGTGGAACGTTCTTGACTCACATTCTTTCCACAACCGCTGGGCCCTGGTTCCGCGGTTTAAAGGAACCCTCTTATGGAACCCTATAGTACCCTTTAAGGGAACCTTTTCCCTTACAGTGGGGCCCGAGCTCATCGCGGTCGGCCTTGACCTGCGGAGACGGGAGCTGGGTTTGGGATGCTGTCTTCGGGTTTGGAGGCCGGATCGGTGAGGTCTTGGCGTTTCGGGTTTAGGGCGGAGGGCTTTGGGTTTAAGGTTTCGGGTTTAGGGCTTTGGGCTTCAAGGGTTGGGGTTGCTAACAACTTCGACATTAGCTCAAAAGGGCCCTGGCCAAAAGGTCCAGCACTCAAGGCTGTTTTAGCTCTGGGCTTGTTCAGTTGGGGGACACCCTGGGCATGCTGCCGTCAAAGCAATGACGGTGCTGATGATGATGATGGTGATGATGATGATGATGAGGAGGAGGAGGATGATGATGAGGATGATGAGAATGATGAGGATGACGATGATGATGACGACGATGAAGATGACGATGAAGATGCTGTTGATGATGATGAGGATTATGAGGATGATGAGGATGATGAGGATGATGATGACGACGATGAAGATCACGATGAAGATGCTGATGACGATGATGAGGATGATGAGGATGACGATGATGATGTTGATGACGACGGTGATAACGATGATGATGATGCTGATGATGACGATGATGATGACGATGATGGTGGTTACGGAAATCGAAAGGAAGATAATGATGAAGAGCAGCAGGTTGATGAGGAGGATGAAGATGACAAGGATGATGGGGCGTGATGAAGATGAAACGGATGATGGGATGAAGGCTATTAAGAAGATACAGGTGCTGAAGAGGAGTGGGTATTCGTCGCCATCTTCACTACGTGGAAGAACTGCTCAATGCAAAACATGTTCACTAGCGGTTCTAAGCACACCGGGCCTTCCGAAAGGGAACAGCCTTAGAACCTTCCGAACCCCCGAATCCTGTACTCTTTTCCAACCTCTCTGAAATCTGTGAAGATCCTTCGTCAACCATGCATAAACCATGTGTATGTCCTAAACCTCACACACGAAAATCAACGGCAAAACGCACCTTCATGCCGCCCGTCACACGCATGATGGTCTCCCGACCGGAGAGGTCGGTGACCTTGCGGAAGAGGGGCTTAGGGTCTAGGGTTTAGGGTTTATTTGAGGATGTACCCTATAGTACCCCTTAAAGGGGACCCTATCATAGAACCCTACAGTGCCGATACAATAAGGCTTAATGCTCCAATGCTCGGTCTGCAAAGCTGCAGGGTGATGATTGGATCTGAAAGGGTCTTAGCTTTATGGGCATTGAAGAGTGCCATGGGATTTGGGGAAAGGCGACCACGTTTGCAAAGTGCCTAAAAGTAGCCCTAAGCCCTAAACTCTAACCCTAAACCCTAAACCCTAATCCCTAAACCCTAATCCCTAAACCCTAAACCCTAAACCCCGAACCCTAGACCCTAATCCCTAAACCCTAAACCCTAAACCCGATTCCCAAA